AGGGAAAGATGTAAAGACAACCACATTCAGAAAGGTCTCTATCAGCTACCCTTTCTAGAGAGGGAACATCCCTGTTGAAGCATCTTTGAAATCTCCAGGACCATGTTAGCCCACACTTTAATAATCTGAGCCACGCTGCATCTCAGCCTACTCTTTCCCAGCCTCTAACACCTTTTTTAAAAAAAAAAAATATGAAATACAACAAACAGTTGACAGCAGCCAACCACTACCATCTTTCTTCTCATTACCTGCAATATTGCACATTATTTTTCCACCATAAGCATTGAGCAGCACCAGCTCATGGAGGTATTTCTTTCTCCAAGAGCTCCTCAGTGGAGTTGCCCAGACCCTCTTCTTGCGAGACAGTCCCGCAGGAGAGAGTTTTAGTTCTACATACAGACAAAGCAAAACAACAACAACAAAATTCCTTTAAATTGTGTATGCTATGGCAGGTCATACACCAGACGAAAAAGGGTAGGTTTTTTACTAGTATTTTTCAGGGATTTGCCTTCCTAATCAAGTTCAAAACCCAGCAGTGCTTGTCACAGAGACATGCCAGCGGTCACAGTGGAGGTACCAAAGGAGCACGTTATCTTTTATTCATTACAAATCTCAGTTACTGACAAACTGCATAGCAGCTACAGATCTTATGCCTCTCTCATCTTCAAAACCACTTTTATTAGTAACAAAAATGTGTAAAATTCCCTCTCATTTACTTTCATAGAAATTCCATAAGTTGTCTATGTAATTTTTAAGCAACCAATTTCAATATTGAATCTTCCCATGAGCCTTTAAACTTTCTGATGTACACTAGGCTCTGTGGCAGCACCAGCAAGTGAAACAGCAGGGCTAGAAATAAATTTAAACATTGCTTAAATGGAGAGCTCCTCCTTAGAGACTTTCTTTTTAGGGTTGCTTTCATCAGAAATAGAACCTTACTGGAAGCAGCAAGCATCAAAATACGCTTTAGAGGTAAACTGCGCTACAGAGTTAATGACATTTTTTTCCGATTTTAGTCCAAATCCAAACAAAACCCACACAGAAATACTTCCCGCCCCAAGTTTGCAATTGCTCAACTTCAGGCCAGTTCAATCTCTGGGTTGAGAGCTTTATTTGATAGGGAGTTCAGCCCAAGTCCTTCAGCTGCTGACGGGTGCCAGCACCTTTCCCACAGCTCCAAAGAGCAGGCAAGTCCTCCCACAAGCCACTCCTCGTGCCTTGGGAAAGGATCCAAAAGCACCTTCATGGGAAAAAGCAGGGGCCGGGCCGCCCCACGCACGAGTTGGGAGCGAAGCGGAGGGAATTTGCGGTGCTGCCCAGCTGTACAGCTAACAGCCCTAATGCAGCAGCCCAGCCCCGTTTCCTGTCACCTGCAGCGATCTACCAGCTGCTAAAATGAATAAACCATGGGGGTGCTCCTGTTGACTCCTGCAAGGAGAATTCTTCTGTGATACCCTGCTCTGGCTCGTGTGATCGACAGCTGTGATCGACAGCGAGCTGATTCAGGGCTGGGAGATGGTAAAGAAATTGTAGGGTCCATCCCAGCAGTGTCTTCCAACGCTAAATCCACTGCCTCATCTGGGAAGCACGTGTGGCATGTGGGAGCCTGGAGATAAAGCCAGTAACACAGATAAAACAGAGCGAGATTAAAGTGGAAAAGCAAAAGATGTTTGCTAGAAAACTGCATGAAAACTATGAAATACTTACACAGTGCTAGAGTTACTACTACTTACACTTTCTCAGATTTTGTCTGGGCAAAAATAGTTAGAGATTAGAGACAGAGGATATTCAGAAGGTAAACAAGAAATAAAATTGCTCTTTGGCTGTAAGTTTTGTTCCATGTGGTCAAAAAAGTCAGGGCAGAACATGAGAAACTGTTCAGAGAGGAATGAATGAATGAAGAACTGCCCCAAACGGAGCACAGCACACAGCTTTATAAAGCAGTGGATCACCTTCGCGCTGAGTACGTCCTGCTCACCTCTCTATCCCATTGCTAAAAGGGCTCAGTAGAACTGAGTATGGCACTGAAAGTAGCTCCTGTGAGAAAAGAAACTTAAATTTCGAAACAAGATGACTCCAATTTTCTACTGAAGACAAGCAAGCCCAGAAGTGTAAAGAACGATGGGCAGCAAAAAGAAGGAAAAAGAGACTGGGTCTCCCAATACACGAAGCATCCAAGCAAACTCTCAGGCAGAAGGCTCAAAAACATAAGGAAGTGAACGGTATTTAACAAAAGGAAAAGCAAGGAGAGAAAACAACACATAACGAGAATACAGAATTCACTGCCACAGGATGTCATGGAAGCCAAAAACATAATAGCTTTAGCACATTACACAGACTCATGGCTATTGCCTACCAACATGTGACAGCCAAGAAGCAGCCTTCAGCTCTGGATATTCCTGAACGTGCAGCTTGTTGGAAGGCAGAAGAATACAGCAGGGAAGAATCTGGATGTATGTGCTCCCCTTTTACACTTTTCCCTAAGTTTTTAATATTAGGCATTATCAGAGACAGACTACTGGCCTAAAGAGACCATTGACCTAATCCATTAGAACAACCATTTGCCTAGTTTTAATTGCCTTCCTTAAGGCAATTTAATTTCCTTACACCACAGGACATCCTGGCAACAAAGTACTGGAAGCCACAAAAGCCTTAAAAGAACAGGATGGGGCTGCTGCATGGCACAGCAATGAAGAATTATGAAGAATTATGAAGAATAACCTCACTTAACAGCAAAGAAGCTGACTGGAATTATTCAGCAAAAGCACCTCTCCCCGTGGGTGCAGTAAGGGGGGTCCTTCCCAGCCCAGTGAGGAGCATCTGCAATCAGCTGCTTCTGTACAGCCCTCAGAGAGGTTATTGCTCTCCATGGCTTCTTCAGCGGCAGGTTTATTGGAAAAATCAACTCGGGGTGGTGTAAGGTGGCATGGAAGGCCAATGGTCTTCCTTTAAAAGTGCTGCTGCTTCTTACTGAGCCCTCTGGAAGCAGCTGGGAAGCGCCCACCTTAATCCCTAAATCGGAGCTCCCTGCGCAGGGACCATCAGCGCCCTATGAGCGAAAGGAGCGGCGCTGCTCCCTTTCCCTTCTGCACCCTTGAGGCCCCGTTGGAAGCGACGGCCCCCTCCACCCACCACTTCCACCCGAAAACCTTCTCGCCCTGCAGCACGACGCTGACCTCGGAGGCATCCGACGCCACCTCCGCGCTTTCTTGACGGAGCGGGACAAAGCGGCGCCGCTAAGGCAAATATTGCGGGCAAACAGTGCGCGTTCCGGAGCTACTCCCCGGAATCCCCGCTGCGCTTGGCTTCTCCAGCGGCGCCGGGAGGTACATGTAGAGAAACAGTATTATTAGAGCCAAACACAAAGCGATGTTACTTGGGAAGGGAATGTTCACTTCATGCTGTTTTCAAGTTTGAACTTGAAAGCAAAACAGTCACACACAAACACACAATATATGAGATATATATATATATATACATTTTCCTAAAGGTTGCTTTCGTGCAGCCTCTAAATGTGTTATTTTTTTCTTTTTCAAGAAATTGAAGATTACTTGAAGATTCAGTGCAAACATCTTCGATTTTTGAAACTAGCAAATATATTCCATATTCTAATCATTCCTTCTTTCTAAAATCCTGGTTATAAATCATCAAGACAGATGAAACAACAAGGTTAAATGCTTTTGCATTTAACATTCAAGCACTAATGCATTTTGAAGCTCTGGGTAAAAGTTGTAGCTGATTTCTCTAAGGAATAACATAATTGCGGACCTTAATTAATCCTGTCCCCAGTCAAGTACTATAAAAGTACGAAAGCAAAGTTACATCCCACACGACCTGTGCATGAGGCACAGTGGTAATTCATTTAGTTGATTTTCAAGAGTATTAACCTCAAATCCAAACAATGCCACATGATTTCACTGATTCCCTTTGCAAGATACCTCTGCATTGCAGAAGCCTGTCAGGTTTGAGAGTTCCTCTTGCCAGGGAGCATCACCTGTCTACTTAGGGGCAAAGTTAAAAGCGCTTGCGCTGCCTCTTTAGTGCAACCTAAACTTAAAGAAAAAAAAAGAGAGAGAGAGAAAGGAAATCCACTCTGGCAGACTTATTTTGAACTCTAACTTTGAGATTGGAAACTGAGATTTGGACAAGAGGATAAATTTGCTCTCTTCACATTTAATAAGAATTGCTAGGGGTGCTGAATTTCCTATCTCTTCTTGAGTCAGAGCGGGTTTCAAGAGTGCACCCATTTATTTCTGGTTTATGTTTTTTGGTAGTTTGGAGGGGAACGGTCCAGGGACAAGATGATCAGCACAACATACTAACCTTTGCTTGTGCTCATTTCATGCTTTTTAGTGGTGGTTCACAAAGACAAGGGAGCTTTCCTGAGGAAAGCCCAAGGCTTCCAGGTCAAGCACTAGAGACCTGGAAGTTCCTGGAGATAAAGCCCTTCTTTACTCTGGCTGCGAGTTCTCCTCTACAGCGCACACACACATGCTTCTCTTTAGCACTTTTGAAGAGCCCGTTGTGAGGAAATGATTCCCCTGAGATGGAAAACTAAGGAAGAAAAAGGAGTGATTATTCTGTTAGCTGTCAATGCTTTTTTTTTTTCCCCCGATGTTATTACTTAAACTGGAAAAGCTTCAAAGTCAATTTTGCTCCTGGAAAGCTACAGAGTTATGTGCACCTAGCGGAATGTGTTTTTTCCTATGTGGCTCTTTGTTACTCTTGTGGTTGCTCCTATTGTTGTTTCTTAATGGACCACCACCATAGCAGGAAGGGCTGGTTCTTCTGTCTCAATAAACTCATACAAGGGAAGCGAGGTTTGCGCTACCCGTATGTTCCTTCACCTGCATCTTGCTTCTTCTGTCCATCTGCAGACTTCTCCGTGGTATGAACTTTTGCAGTGCTCAATCTTCCTTCCTCCCTTCTTCCCCCAATAGATTCCAGGGGACACAGTTCCTAAGACTGGCTTCTTAATTAACAGCAATGATCTGTATAGGTTATTTTTAAGATGTGGTGTATGTGTACATCTGGAAACACACATGTGCACACACCCACGAAGAAAATGGCTTTGCCATCGTTTGTATATCACTAAGGAGAATTATTTTTATAACAGAAGTCCTAACAATGGTTACATATGAATTATGACCTGGGATTATTTATGTACTGCACTTTGTTTAAATGGTATCTATGTTCTTCAAGGGAACAATGCTGTATACAGCTGCTTTATTAATAACGTCACTGGCTCCTTGTTGCTATTTTTACATCTCCAGCTTCCTGTCAGGCCATGCAAATAGAGATGCCCGCATTTGGCGGACACGCGTTATTGTTCCATGAACCTTGGCTATTACATTACAATAGAAAAAGAATGACTTCCCTGGGAATAGCTTTTATTTTGTCCCGATAGTTCTGATAAAAAGTCATAAAGCTGCATATGATACAATGGAAAGGCAAAGGCAATATCTGCCATATCTACTTTCAAAAAAGTTAATTGTTCACTCAAAACTTTTGGAATGAAAATATCTTTTTGTTTCCGGGAGAGCAACAGAGAGGTCAGTGTTTCATGACACAGAATGTTTGCTCCCTGCATGAGCAAATCCTCTAATCCCATTCCCATTGCCTAAAAACAGAAAGCAGAAAATATATAAAAATAGGTCTGCATGCTGTTTGCCTCTGTAGGTGCCTATTGACCTCTGCTTAAGGACCTGTTGACTATTTCTAGCTCTCGCCCAATACACAGAGGTCCAAATTCAGGAACCTTTACACGGATTTTTAGGTAAACGTTGAAGGTTTGAAGACCAGTTTATAAACGGTAAGCATATCTCATTGAAAAAGGTCTTCCTACTTCTCTGGTAAATTTGTTTTCCTCTATGAATATATTTTGCATAACAACAAAGAGGAACAGCATGCCTATAAATATTTTACATTTGCATATGCTTTTCTGGAAGCATTTGCATTCACAGATTTTGTAGTTGGAAATGATCATTTTGGCCGCTTGAGCAAAGGTCCAAAGATTTTGGCTTCCAACAGGCTTCTTAGGAAGATTTCCTGTCCTGATTTAGATGTGGCACATGACAGAAGGATTCACCTTGACTCTACATAAACTGCTGTAATGTCAATTAATATTGTTGACAGCCTGGCTCTAGTCTGCATTTGTCTAAAATCCGTTTGCAATCATGCAGTTCCACACATTCCGTTCATAGAGTTTCCAGCCATTAATGCTTGGAAAGCAATTCTGAGTGCCAAGGCAACTTTACAATAAAGCATTCTAGACGAGTGAATGTATTAATGCCAAGGGAATAAAATTAATGGGGTAAACATGGGAACAAACACCACGGCTCCATCAGGCTTTTGGACCTGTCCTTGTTACAGTGCCCTGCAACTCTTTTAAACCTATTTTTAAAGCTCTGAAGAAAGAAATCCACAAGCCTGGAGCCCTTCCCACAGCCAGGCAGTGGTAAATAGGGGAGTGGTGCATACAGCATGGGAAAACAAAGCCAGGAGCTCAGCAGGGCACCTGATGCTTGAAATTCAAACTAACCAAAGCCATAAATTAGGTGTATCTGCCTCTGTGCGTGCCAGGGTATAACATTCTGCACCTCCTTCAGTGGGTCTTGTATAAACAAAGAACACAAGGGCTGGCTATGAAATCAGCTTTCCGGTGCCAGACGGAGAAATCTGCAATCAAGGAAAAACCAAGCCATACCACCTTCCCCCAGCATGTCCCAG